GGGATCTATCTTACTGCTTTTCTTGTTAACATGCACAATACACAAAATCCATACAAATTACTTAGCACCACAAAATGATACTTGGTTTTGTATTCTGAAAAAGGCGCGGTACTGGGAGGTGGGTAGGGGGTGAAACCAAGGAACGGTGCTTAGAAGTGGGTAGAGGGGCAGAGAAAATAGGTGATTCAGAAGAGGGGAATTCCTGCACCTATTCTCTGAGAACAAAAGCCCTACAGGAAACCTGACATATTTGCTATCTCAATAGTAATTGCAACAATTACATTCTTTATATTTTACCAAAAATGAGGATTGTATTCTGTTTGCATGCATTAAAATTAGTTGTAATGTATGTTTTTCTGAAAATAAAGGTTTGATAAACAGTTGCAATGTTGCTGTGACAAATATTATGTGACTTTTGCAACCAGGGGCGGACTGACCATTCGAGCACTCGGGCCCTGCCCGAGGGCCCAGGGTCAGTAGGGGGCCCCATGAAAATGCCCCTGGTACCTTTTTTATAGGTTTTTTGGGTGTGCTTTGAGTGTGGGCAAGGACACAGGGGCCCCATGATTCCCTATTGCCCGGGGGCCCCATGCGTTGTCAGTCCGCCCCTGTTTGCAACTATCAACTTTTTTATTCAACAGGTTTTATGCTTTCAGAAAATATATATTATCCATCTGAGATGCTACATGGGAGATGGAAGGCAGCCCTGGCAGCCAAAGGGTTAAGTTAGGAGTGACATTACAAGTAAGGCCAGGTCAGAAGTGTAGGAGGAAGCCATGACTCACAAGGAGGAGGCCTTCATAAACACAAAACATCAACAGGTCTTAGTTCTTGTAAAGTGTTGACAACTAAGCACAGAGGGAGAGATCTGTGGTAGATATAGTGAGGTAGGGGGATAGCTGTAATAATAATATGGGGTGCTCTACGATAATGGGGAACCCTGGATGGCCAGTATCAATGACACATCATTTTTTAGTATTAGCTGATTCTAGAGTTTTAACACTTTTGGGGTTATTTACTAAAAACTGGAGAGTGCAAAATCTGGTGGAACTCTGCATAGAAACCAATCAGCTTCCAGCTTTTATTTCCAAAGCTTAAATGAACAAGCTGAAGTTAGAAGGTGATTGGTTACCATGCACAGCTGCACCAGATTCGGAGTGCTCCCCCTTTGTGACTATCAGCATTCTGGAACAATGCAGGTTTCTCTGCTATAAGTGCCCATTGTTGTTTGCACCTTAGAAGTGTCTCCCAAATTAATTACGTTTTATTACCTCCTGTTTCATCTTTAATGACCCTGTGAATAGGGATAACTTGTAAAATTGTCATCTATCAGAGAATCTCATGTAGGCCCCCTGCGGTGCATTTTCGTGTGCACCAAACCACGTGTTGCTGCGGTGCAATTTTGAAAAAAGGGTCCGGGACTTCTCCGTGTTTTCTCACAGGTAGTGTGGCCCATTAAAATGAATGGGCTGATCTATCCACGACGTGAGCACCAAATGCACATATACAGATCTGAGCCTGTTCTTATATTAGTGTCCTCAATCCCCACTGCACATCACAGTCCCCTCCTCGTTCACAGCAAGATCCCCTCTTGATGAGTGTCCTCAGCTCCCCCTTTACATCACCCCCCTCCACCCCTTTCACAGTAGTGTTCTCACACTTCCTTGACAGCAACCGCCCCCCCCCCCCCTCCCCAACCCCAACAGTACTGTTTTCTGCCCCCTTCATTGCATCCCTTCTTACATTGCCCCCCCCCCCACGTTACTATCCTCACCCCCCCCCCCCACATTACTGTCCTCAGCTCCCACATTACAGTTCTCAGCCCCCCCTCCACCTAAAATGTCCTCAGCTCCCCCACATTACTGTCTTCGGCTCCACATTACAGTTCTTAGCCCACCCCCCCCCCCACTTTACTGTCCTCATCCCCCACACACCGCAGACCTTAGCCCCCCGCTTTACTGTCCTCAGCCCCCCACACACTGCAGACCTTAGCCCCCACTTTACTGTCATCAGCCCCCCCCCCCCCCCACATTACTGTCCTCAGCTCCCACATTACAGTTCTCAGCCCCCCCCCCCCCCCCACTTTAATGTCCTCAGCTCCACGACATTACTGTCTTCGGCCCCACATTAGAGTTCCTAGCCCACCCTCCCCTTTAATGTCCTCAGCCCCCACACACCGTAGACCTTAGCCCCCCACTTTACTGCCCTCAGCCCCCCCACTATAACGCTCTTAGCCCCCCACATTTCAATTCTCAGCTCCTCCACTTTATTTTTAATGCCCTCCCCCCAACACTACTGTCCTCGGTCTCCCAACATTACTGTTCTAAGCCCCCCCCACATTCAGTCCCAGTCCCCCCACATTCAGTGCTTGCCTCCTTTTCACTGACCTTAGTCTCTAACTGTGCCCCCCCCCCCCCCCCCCACACACACACACACACACTCCTACCTTAGACAGTGATTGATTGCTAAGACTGCCTTTTGTCCTAGCAACAAATCACCTGCTTGTTAACCTCGGACAGCTCCCGCCCTCCATCCAAAACTGTCATGTCTCCCACCGTCAGCTCTGTGAGGGTGACTGCGAGACGGCTGGGGGAAGAAAAGGCTCCTAAATGTCGGGATTGCATGGGTCCGGATAGGATAGTGACTTGGTCCGCATCCGGACCCCCGGTCTGCCATTTAGTGATGCCTGTTCTATAATCACCTTACCCATGTCTTCAAAATCTGGTTCTCCATGACCACTGCAGGTATTCCACACTTCTGGGCATGTGAATGCTTACTCCTCACACCCCAACATGGTCACTATAGGACATACAGGCCAGCTGGAGGAGCTACAACATGCAATGTGCTGGAGCACAATCTCACAATTTTCAATAAAAGGGTACCATTACATTTCATAGAACTACTGCTTTATTATTGAGTGGCTCCACAATCTCCAAATCTAATGACACTAGCAGTCAGAGGCACAGCAGTGCCTTAGATGATCTCACACTGCAGATATACAACTATGAGGCTCACAGGAGTGCCTAGGCATACAAGCTGCATACACAGCTGTTTTTCATGGGGAGTTGAAGGCAAAAGGTAGATTTTTCAGAGCACTGCTGAGGCAAAATTAAACTTTTTAGATATTCCTTATAACTAGAGATGAGCGAAGTATTCAAAAATTCGATTCGACTGATTCGGCGAATTCGTGAAAAAATTTTGATTCGAGTCGAATATATTCGCTGCGAATTTAACTTATAAAAGGGTGTTTCTAGGCTTCAGAGAGCCTTTATATTAGTGCAGAACACTGTACCTTTAATTTAAATGCCCTTGGAGTCTGCTGGGGAAGAGAAATAATACTGACAGTCAGTATGACATGCAGATGAGTGCCGTCGATCTTAGAATCACCGCACACTTCACTCATTTGAGCAGTCACGGGGCCAAAACCAGAGTGTGGAGCCACAGTGTGGCGGTGGAGGCAGCAGCAATGGGAGGCCATACAGCACCCTATGACAAAAATGGAAACCACCAGCAGTGTGAGGAGACCTGAAAGTGGCACATGGCAGAGTGTGGCGATGGAGACAGCAGCAATGGGAGGCCGTACAGGGACCCATGACACACTCTGGACCTGGCAGCAGCATGAGGAGGCGGTACAGGGGCCCATGACAGATTACGGGCCTGGCAGCAGCATGAAGAGTTGGTATGGGGGCCCATGGCAGATTACGGGCCTGGCAGCAGCAATGGGAGGCCGTACAGGGACCCATGACACACTCTGGACCTGGCAGCAGCATGAGGAGGCGGTACAGGGGCCCATGACAGATTACGGGCCTGGCAGCAGCATGAGGAGTCGGTACGGGGGCCCATGACACACTCTGGACCTGGCAGCAGCATGAGGAGGCGGTACAGGGGCGCATGACAGATTACGAGCCTGGCAGCAGCAACTTGGACAGGAGGACGTTCAGCTTCTGCACCGTCGGGTGCGTGCTCGCAAACTGTTGTCTCTTGGAAACGGATTCCAAGAAAGACTGCTGACGGAATCCGTGAAGAGGAGTAGCAGGAGAAGGAGCATCTGAACGAGCGGTATATGCCAACAAGCGACAACAGGGGCCCATGAGAGATTACGGGCCTGGCAGCAGCATGAGGAGTCGGTACGGGGGCCCATGGCAGATTACGGGCCTGGCAGCAGCAATGGGAGGCCCGTAATCTGCCAGCACCCTATGACAAAAAATGGAACACACCAGCAGTGTGAGGAGACCTGAAAGTGGCACATGGCATGAGACACTGTGGACCTGGCAGCAGCATGAGGAGGCGGGACAGGGGCCCATGGCAGATTAGGGGCCTGGCAGCAGCTATGGGAGGCCCGTAATCTGCCAGCACCCTATGACAAAAAATGGAACACACCAGCAGTGTGAGGAGACCTGAAAGTGGCACATGGCAGAGTGTGGCGATGGAGACAGCAGCAATGGGAGGGAGGCCGTACAGGGACCCATGAGAGACTGTGGACCTGGCAGCAGCATGAGGAGGCGGTACAGGGGCCCATGGCAGATTAGGGGCCTGGCAGCAGCAATGGGAGGCCCGTAATCTGCCAGCACCCTATGACAAAAAATGGAACACACCAGCAGTGTGTGAGGAGACCTGAAAGTGGCACATGGCAGAGTGTGGCGATGGAGACAGCAGCAATGGGAGGCCGTACAGGGACCCATGAGAGACTCTGGACCTGGCAGCAGCATGAGGAGGCAGTACAGGGGCCCATGGCAGATAAGGGCCTGGCAGCAGCTATGGGAGGCACGTAATCTGCCAGCACCCTATGACAAAAAATGGAACACACCAGCAGTGTGAGGAGACCTGAAAGTGGCACATGGCAGAGTGTGGCGATGGAGACAGCAGCAATGGGAGGCCGTACAGGGACCCATGAGAGACTGTGGACCTGGCAGCAGCATGAGGAGGCGGTTCTGGGGCCCATGGCAGATTAGGGGCCTGGCAGCAGCTATGGGAGGCCCGTAATCTGCCAGCACCCTATGACAAAAAATGGAACACACCAGCAGTGTGAGGAGACCTGAAAGTGGCACATGGCAGAGTGTGGCGATGGAGACAGCAGCAATGGGAGGCGGTTCAGGGACCCATGAGACACTGTGGGACCTGGCAGCAGCATGAGGAGGCGGTACAGGGGCCCATGGCAGATTAAGGCCTGGCAGCAGCAATGGGAGGCCCGTAATCTGCCAGCACCCTATGACAAAATGGAACCCTGGGCTGGGGCAGGCAGAACCGCCGTATCTTTATCACGGTTTTCCCAGGCCACCGAATGGCGACGCTGCATATGCTGACGCAACGCTGTAGTCCCAACATGGGCCCCCTGGCCACGCTTGACTTTCTGGCCACATAGTCGACATATGGCTACGTTTACTTCCTCGGGCGGCTTGACAAAAAAATTGCCACACCGCCGAGTAGGAAACTTTGCCCCCACTACTCCTCACTGGCTGACTGCTACTTCCTCCGTGCACACCGGCACCACTACTGGCCGTGGTGGTAGGCTGCAGTAGAGCTGGTGCTCTACTCCGTGGCCATTTGCCCTCCACTGACACTGCTGCGACCCTGCTGCCTCCTGGCAGCAGCAATGGGAGGCCGTACAGGGACCCATGACACACTCTGGACCTGGCAGCAGCATGAAGAGGCGGTACAGGGGCCCATGGCAGATTACGGGCCTGGCAGCAGCAATGGGAGGCCCGTAATCTGCCAGCACCCTATGACAAAAAATGGAACACACCAGCAGTGTGTGAGGAGACCTGAAAGTGGCACACATGGCGATGGAGACACACAATGGTACAGGGGACCTGGCAGCAGCATGAGGAGGCGGTACAGGGGCCCATGGCAGATTAGGGGGGCCTGGCAGCAGCTATGGGAGGCCCGTAATCTGCCAGCACCCTATGACAAAAATGGAACACACCAGCAGTGTGTGAGGAGACCTGAAAGTGGCACATGGCATGAGACACTGTGGACCTGGCAGCAGCATGAGGAGGCGGTACAGGGGCCCATGGCAGATTAGGGGCCTGGCAGCAGCAATGGGAGGCCCGTAATCTGCCAGCACCCTATGACAAAAAATGGAACACACCAGCAGTGTGTGAGGAGACCTGAAAGTGGCACATGGCAGAGTGTGGCGATGGAGGACAGCAGCAATGGGAGGCCCGTACAGGGACCCCATGACAGAGACTCTGGACCTGGCAGCAGCATGAGGAGGCTGGCACGGTGCGGTACAGGGGCCCATGGCAGATTAGGGGCCTGGCAGCAGCTATGGGAGGCCCCGTAATCTGCCAGCACCCTATGACAAAAAATGGAACACACCAGCAGTGTGTGAGGAGACCTGAAAGTGGCACATGTTTTGGGGCATGATTCATGGCGGATTTAGTCAGTTGTGTCAGGAACTGGTGGTTTGAAATCCAGACTAATCCACGCCTGATTTCATTTTTTTCCACAAACGTGAGTCTCTCCACACTTTGGGTGGACAGTCGTGTCCTCACGCGGAGTTACAATACCTCCTGCCGCACTAAACACGCGCTCCGATGCCACGCTACTGGCCGGGCATGACAGCCTTTCAAGGGCAAATTCAGCTAGTTGGGGCCAAAGGTCAAGTTTCGTTGCCCCCCAGTAGTCAAGGGGATTGTCTACCTCGGTTGGCAGGGTGCTGTCCAAGTAGGCCTAAGCCTGTTGTTTGAGGTCCTGC